TGACAATAAAATCTGAAAATCTGTGGAATACATAATGACTTGTAACTAAATATTTCAGATTATTCCAAAAACAAGTTTTGAACATACAAGGAACCATAATCCTACTACAAAACACTCATTGACTAAAAATAAAAAGAAATTTCTCTCCAGTGATTAAACACTTACTCTAAACACGACACTCACTTTAAAAGGGGAATATCATTCTACTGGCAAGCATTTGCCCTAGATCTGTCCTTGGCATTTAGTATCGTGCTAAATAATTAATTTTCTCAGTATTCCATTTCACAAGACTCCACCAATCTTCCACCTTCTCCATACGGGAATTAGATACATTGGAGAAAATGATCTAGAATAGGGCAACATTACAACTCTGAGCACAACTCTCAAACCAATTAGAAAATATATCTTCTACTTTTAACACAATACTGCGCTGAATTTTGTTTCTTCACTAGATGTTGAAATAATTATTTGGATTAAAATATTGTTCTTGAAATTTAAGCCACTGAATCATCTAGTGAAACTGGCATGCTTCTTTAATGCTTTGGGTGGTTTCTGAATTCTTTGGCATTAACCAGCTGTAATGCATTGTTTTGTACCCACGCATTTTAATCGTAACATTGGAATAATGTGTTTACTTAGCTCCTTGCAAAGGTTCAGTAGGCAATACAACACGCAGTTGGGGCTAACTGGAGAAAATTGTTATTTTTGTTCATATATCTTCAAGAAACAATATTGTGTTGCCCAACTGAGCCTGGTTTCTGAGTCAGCTATCCAAAAATTGCTAAGATATGAATCAACTGCGATTTCATACCTACCCACTTTTCCCTGTGTTGTATAATTGGAAGGCAACAGCTATGAAGGTTTTCAAAGGAGTTTCTTTGTCAACTAAGAACTTAAACAATGGTTTATCCTGTCTCTTCCTGCCTTATCATCATTCCTTATGGTAGATCCAGAATAAATACCCTCCTGCATTAGGATCTGCCTAACGGTAAAAAAAATTATAATTTCCAGAATCACTCGCTGCTTTCCTGGCTGTTTCTATTCACTCTCTAATGTTTATTCTTGGAAAAGAAAAATCAGGGGACATGTAAATATTCATTTTCAGGAGGTAGTGAATGAAGAGGCTGGTTAAAAAGTTCGGGCCTATAATCTGAGGGGAAATGTGACGGCATGGGTAGCAAGTCGGTTGGCTGACACAAAACAGTAAATGAAGGTTGCTCAGACAAGAGAAGGTTTGCAAATTAAGTGTTCTCAGAAGTCAGTACTGGGCCCCACATCGACATATATTGCTAATAACACACAAGCAGGTTTGGTGAACAATAAGTACTAAGACAAGTCTTCAGCAAGGCAGGCTTGTCAGCAGAATGGGTAGACAGGCTCCATTTCACCTGAAAGACAGCAGGATAATTTGACTGATTTTATCAGAGGCAGCTCCTAACTGGTTGGTCCTTAGTTTGCTGTTTATCTACCCATGAGCAGGTAAATAAAAAGTTAAACATGATAGGTCGAGTAGTCAGGACCACTTAGATGGCCTATTAGGTATGCACGGACATTGCCCATGGCAGTGCAAATGGAAACTCCAGCTTCAATGGTCTCTTGGGCTGCTGCAAGGTGGAAATCTCCATTAAGATGGCATCCTCCCCACGCAAAGCATCTACCAACAAAGTGTCGACAGCCCCGTAAAACTGCCTTTAATAATACTATAAAAACTTGGGCCCTTTAGTTATCAAAGGCGACAGTAAACTTTTGTCTTCAAGTCATTCTCTTCATCTCCAATTTCAACGCTCTCTCATTCAAAATACCAGCTTCACTTGGTTTACCAACAGATTAATGATAAAAGCTGCAGTTTGTTCTCATTCACTTCAATAATTATATAAAGTGACCCATTAAGACAAACAGACCTTGCTGTCTGAAGCATAGCTCAGTGACAATTTAAGATTGAATACATTAGCGCTGTGCCTGAAATCAAACACAACTACAGATTGTTACACTGACTGAGGCTGATGACCCAGTATTGACTGCTTCTTAATATGTAGGCAAACAAGCATGGCTTGTTGTCCCGATAGTAATTCTTCTAATCGCTAATATGCAAAATATACAGCAGGGATGCTTGGATCAAATGTTTCTGTGAGACAAAAACTATTACAGTTTTCAAAAGGTTCAACTATAATTGTTGATTGCCCTGCTGAATCCCACAAAGCTAGAGTATGAGCTTGTTATATTACAGTTTTAATGATACGATCTCCATTGTTGATGGCACCCATTCCAGTGCATTGAACTCTTTATGATGAAGCTTATAATGAGATACAAGGTCCTGCAATATCACCAAGTCAGTGTGATTCAGGAGTTCTTTCATTGTAAAGATGGTCATGTTCTACTCCTCTAAAAAATTTTCTTGATTCCATGAAAATTACAAAGGTTTTAGAGGTGTCATGAGTCATAATATGAATGAGGAAACCTTTTGAAACCTATACTCTTCCAATCACACCCCATGACCTTTCTTTCTGCATTGTCAAATTCTGCCCCCAATCCATACCACACCCCCATGCATTTTTGTCCAGGCATACAGATATCTATTAGTCTGTTGAAACACCGGAGCCGCAGAAAATTATTTCTACATTGGCAACTCTGACTTTCTGATCCCTGCTGTCAATTGTGCAATGTTCATTCACAAACCATTAAGGGGTTTCAAATGCTTGCAGAATCAGATATTCATAC